AACCTTAATGATTCTATGATTCTAAGCAATGACAGAAGGCACATAGGGATGTTGACTGCATATATAACCTGTATCTGTAAATACTGGTTCTGGTGAAAGGCATTTTTGACAAATTCAGAAAAATAAACTTAACAGTATTCATCAGCTGCCTTTTCTTTTGAAATGTTAAGACTTTCTTCCCTTATGTTTTAAATTTAAGGATTAAATGTATGTATCTGGCTTGAACAAACTGGAAAAAAAAAAAAATCAGTAACAGTCTCCGCTTTCTGTGCTGCTATTTCTGATATGTGGGGAAAAAAAAAAAAAAAAAAAAAAAGAGAGATGTAAACCTTGCATTTGCATCAGTTTGGGTAGATCATAAATCTAACTGTTAAACTAAGCTAAGCTAACATATTATCAGTGGGTTCCACTCAATAATCTATTCTTCTGATAACTTCAGAAATATACAGTCAGTGGGTCAGTTAAGTGGGACAGTAGTGAATTTTCAATACAGAACTTTGTAATTCTTGCAGTGAGAAAGAGTTTTGCCTGAGATCATCCAACACAGAATATTAGTCATCCAATTCCTGAAGTAATAAAAAAATGGATGGACCATTTTAAGGGTACTTTAATGAATGATGTTATGATGTTCTGGAACCTTTTTCTTTGAAAATGTTTACAAGAGTTTGGCCTTATCTGCTTATGCGGAGAAATACACTGAATGTTTGTTTCACAAAGATTTGTTCACCATACACCACCCTGTTGTTTTGTCTATTAAAAAGGCATTTCACACATTACAAAAAAAAGAGTGAGGGCAAAGTAAGGTAACATGTGGCACAGTATTCCTAGTTCAGAAGCACTCACTCATTCACATACGACACTTGAATGAAGCCTTACCTTCCGAATAACTTGCTGTTGTTGCAAATGTTTTGCTCTCAGTTCTGCCACTTCCCTCCAAAGGGATTCATTCTCCCTGTTTGAAAAGGATGATTTAAAACTCAAACTAAAACTAAATTTTAAAATATTTACATTAATCATTTTTGTTAAAGATTAGTTGGTTTCATTAAAGCTCTTTGAAATGTGTTTTTAGACTGGGGGGGAGTCACACAGTCAGCAGCCTTGGCAAATAATTACAAAATGGAGACCTAAACACAACAAATAGCCTGCAGAGAATTTCCAGCCCCCTTAAAAAAAAAAAAAAAAAATCCCAAATTTGGCAATACTTATTACACATACATTCAGCGTTTAAAAATTAACTATTTTGTTTCCTTTCCTGTAACAAAGTTACCTTCTCCTCTTCCTTCTAGTAATTAAATCCTAAGAAATTAAACAAAAAAAAAAATCCAAGCATACAGCTGGTCTCTGGCAGCAGCAAAGGACCAAACAGCATAAGAATGCAGTTTCCTCTCACCACTAAAAAACAGAGCTCTTCATTTATGTCAAGCCTATTTGTCCTCCCTCACACACTTCTTGCTAGATGCAAGCTACCTGTCGGCAACAGTACATCCACCTTGAAAGCACCTTTACAGAACAAGCTCTCAAGTCACACATGCGGCTGTAGGTCGTCCTAACAGTTGCCTCTATCAGCTCCAGGAAAGGGGCACGTTAGGTGCTAAAAAGTAACAGGAGCACAGCAAAGATGGCAGTTTTCATGAAACACTGCCATTTTACAAACCTTGGTTGTTCCACTACTCACAGCTGAGTCCAGTTACTGAGACAGTATAAAAACTGCTGTAAAGTGGCCCTTGCTATCGTATCCATGAATCTCGTTGTTTCCAACAGCATAAAGCGTATTAAGAGGTAGATAATGAATACTGAAAGCTTCAATGAATAAGGAAAGACAACATACCACCCTCCTCTCTTTTGCAGTTTAGTTTTCAACACAGATGTATGCCAAAAAAAGGAGGAAAAACTCCTGAAACACTGGTGTTCAGGTTTTTAGGAAACCCTAAGCTAAGTTTTCAAAAACAGCTGTTTATATGCAGTGTGATAAAGCTTATTACTCACTCCTCAAACTGCTCCAATGTCCAACATACAATTTAAGAGTACAGTTCCATCACAAATTTAACAACTGAGATCAGGGATTCTGAACTTTCTCAATTTCTCACCAGCTTTATTAACATGTTTTGTAGGACTAGGTCTTCTGATTCAGCTCCAGTTTCCACCTCAATCATTTTAAACTCATGGGACAACAATATGAATGTCAAAGACCAACCATTCTGTCTTCTCATCTCTACAAACTGTCAGGTCGTTAGCAACTGGATGTCATTCCAGCCAAAGTCAGCCCTGCTCTGGGTAGGGGATTGGACCTGACGGCCTTCTGAAGTTCCTTCCAACCCAAATTCGTCTGTGATTTGAAAAGGGTGAATATGAACATTTTTACTCTAGACTGGCCAGATTCTAATAAAGCCCCTTTCTAGACGAAGTAAATTTGCCGCCGAATATTCTACCACTCAAGTAATTAGAACTAGAAATTAGACTAGAAATGACAGCATTTACTTCTTAAAACTTGAGCTAATCAGTGACCTCTGCCACAGAGGTACACAATCATTATTTTCTCAAGTTAACATAAGTTAAGGAGCCTTGAGACAGACTTACTGTTGAGGTGCTGTGACAGTGCACGAGCTTATGCTCATATATCCCGTCTGTATCTACACACTCTAAAGGATTAAGTAATTTGTGACACATGTCTGTCTCATTGTTGAGTATAAATCATAATTACTAAATAGGCAATAATGCGATTCTAAAAATACTCTATTTCTATTTGGATTTTAGATTCTGTACCTCTGTTGCTGACGTAACTCATGAATTTCCAAATTAGTTTTCTAAATATATTTCCATAGGTATTAACTCTTCTGCAATTTTTAGCAGTGGGGGAATGAAGACAACAACAGGAAAATAAAAAGCAATGAGCAAAGGCATTAATTGTAGTAAGAAAGTATTATAAGCAATTTACACAAACCAAACTCTGCCTCAAACTAAACACAGTAACTACTTCAAGCTTGAAGACATAAACCAGCCTACTTTATGCTAAGAGCCGAGTTGAATATTCAGCCTCAGCAGCGTTATTTGAACTATTATTAAAGGTGTTATTTAATTGCCCACTACTAGACAGTTCTTCAAACACCAACATTGCCTATTACTTTTAACTAAATTTTTAATGCAATTCTTTTATTGAAATTTATTTTCCTAAAGCAATATTTAAAGTTAGGCAATAAGAAATCAAGAGACACCTAAAATTAGGTCTTTGTCCGATATCTATGATCAGAATTACTCAATTTTAGGGATCAGTTGCTGATGGAGCAACTCACCTCTTCAAAGCAGACAATCGAGATTCAATAGTCTCTTGTTTAATTTGCACCTTTTGAGCACTACTTATTATTTTGGAGAGATCTTCTTGACGTATCTTGTTTTCTTCAGGTCTCGAAGAAGAAACCTTTAAAAGATTAGAATCCAGAAACAACACTTTCCTTTACTCATTGTTAACTATTATCTTCTTTTGATGATCAAGTAAATTTTCTTCTAGTGCTGATAAACTACGCATTTAAGTCAATAATAAACCAAGCATCAAATAAAAAATACAGAAACACACAGAAATGCCCTCTTACAGCTGTCACCACATTAGCTTTAGTTGTTACAATCATCTGTGTACATTCAGATTCTTCAGGTATTCTCCTAAGTGCTCTACTTCATCCTAACTGCTTCACAATAACGCAATGCTAGTAAGTACATCCCTCTCCCGACGGTTTAACTTGCCATATTTCTATTTGATACCTACCTTCACCTGACTCACAATAACAGTAGAGCACACTTCAGAATCACATTTAGCAGCACAACAAACATGTTTATAGGTTTGCCCCTTGTTCTCTTTGGTGGAAAATTTAATGCTTGCAGTAGCTTTGTTCTGAAACAAGCTACATAAACAAGCAGATTATTATATTACTGATGGTAAAGTCAAAGCATGCTCTGCACTTCTAATACCCATTTGCAAAATGTCATATTTGCATAACTCACTCATTTTTGCCACCTGTGAAACTTACTATAAGTACAGCAAAGCAGGTTAGATAAAGGACCCTAGTCGAATCCCTCAAAATATCTTTAAACAAGTCAAGATATATACGAGAGCAGCGCAGTTTGCTTCCTCACTTATCTGCACTCACAATCGTGCAATTAAACTTGACATGAACTTTGCTATTCATTCATACTTACTAGTACAGATTTTCCACATACTGAGTTTTCACTAACCTTCCTTTTAATGTGTTCCAACAAGTCCTCCCGACCCTGCTTAAAATACGGGTGCTGAAACTCTACTGGACCATCTCGCTCCAGTTTGACAATCCCAGAATCAACATGGACAACTTTACGGAAGCCATCTTTAAAAAAGGAAAAAGAAAAAAACAAAAACTCTCTCAAAACCCACATTAAGAAATTCGAACTATGCTGTTCCAACTATCCTGGTATCAGTTTTGAGGATAAGACAGTAGCCTAGTTGCAGAGAACACAGGGCCACTGCTCAAAGGAAATTGTCTGTAACTAAACATGTACAGGATCTAGAACTATGCTAGAAAACAAAAACCCAAGAACTTACACATGTTTAACTGCCTGACAAAGCTTGCCATGTTGTTGTGCTTGAAGTACTTGGGAAGAATCTCTTTTGCGAATCTCTGTTCATCCAACACCAAGAAACTCTGGCCATTCTAAAACAAGAGAGACACATTAAGCTACTTAAAGACCATTGTAGAAAACCCGCTGGGCTTTTAGAATTAATCACCAGATAGGAATGTTTCCTTTGTGCATGCAGTACCGTAACTGATCTGCTTGCCTACAATTTTCCACAACAAGAAGTGTACAAACCCTGCAGTTGCAAAGCAACAGAGTATTATCAATTTACATTGCTATCCATATCTGAAGGGGAACATATCTATTGTTACTCACTGCTTCCTCAAGAAATTAATTGTTTACCAACAATTACCACAGTTTCACTACAGGACAATACTAGCAATTTTGTGTGTTTCAAAGCATTGGGAAGGAATCTAACAAAGAGACTGTGCAAGGGGAAAAAACCCAACAACCAGCTGAGAGTCCCTTCTGCTTTCCAGTATAAAAGCATGATTAGTTTGATAAGACTTGTAGAGCAGATGGAGCTGTCAAAGAGCTGAGGGTGTCCACTGGGTTTTGGAGTTACCAAAAAGGTAACCGCCCGAGGCAATATCCCCCTCCTCCTGGGATGCCTGTTGTGAGGGAGGACTGATCTTTTACTTCATCCACAGCCTTTGACTAAAATAGAAGGCTCAGCTCTTTGCTCCTCAGTGACGGTACTCGCTTAACTAAAGGACAAGTAATTGGCAGAATCCAAATTAGCTACTTCAAAATGGTTTAGGTTTTGTCTGTACATCCACAGTACTCTCACCTGTATTGAATGAGAAGCCTATCATCTTCAACAAATGTCAACACTGATACTGCATCTTCTTAAAAACTCTTTAGTTCAACAAGTCACACGTGTTTCTTACCCCCAAATGCCAGCAGTTCTACGATCCCAAGAAATCTGAAGAACCAACCATGAGACTATGTGAAGATCCTTGCTCAAGAGCTTGTTTCTGACAAACCAGCAAGGATTGTCAGAAACAGGATTTATAAATGGCTCATCATTGGATGAGTTAGGAGCTTAAGATTCAGAGGGTAGGAAGATGAAAACTTCCCAGTAATGCCTACCTACCTCCTGCTCAGAATCAGTCAGTGGAAGGGAAAGGGGAAGCAAAGGAAAGGGCAGGAACACATCATTTTAGCCAATGCATTAATGAAACTCACCAGCTGAAGGTACTCAAACAAGCGGCACTACAGTGACCTGTGACGCCATCAGACAGCTTTCATGCGGCACCTCACTTTATTGTCACTTTGACATTGTTCAGGCCTAGCGCAGAAAAATCTGGGAAACACATCTACTAGTTCTTTTTGCCCTGGCAGTCATTTACAGCAAAGCTGTACAGACGTTAAGGCCCGACTTGAACTCGATGAAACATTACCACATAGCTAAATACAGTTTTCAAGTCCTAGTGTTACTGGCTGCAGCATACAGCAATCTTCCACCACGTACTTCATTTGGTACTCTTGTAAGTGTTTCCATGGACAACACATACCCGTGGCTTCACTGAGATACGTATGCAGGGAGACAAAATTTGGCTGTTCAGTTCCAGATGGTGTTTATCCTTACAGTGTAAAGATATGGATTTGTATAGGAGGAAAGTGAAATATTACAGTAACTGTATTCTGCCTCCCCTGTTACGCTTGGTAAACTTTCTGTATCCCATAATACTGACATAGCTTATTCTTAAAAGATGTCATCGCTTGTGTACCAAGCGAGCCTAATACCTTCCCCCACACAAGAACTGCTGGATGCTGATAACATCAACTGTGATTAGTGGACCTTCCTTCCACAAACAGCCTTGCAGAACAGTTAGTCTTTATTTTTAATTAAGAAAATAATACAAGGATACCTAATAATAGCCTTGGTGTGCTTACTTGAGATAAACATAAGCAATAAATTTGGAAAGTCTCTATTAAAAGCATTAGGTGGCAAAAATGGCACTTCTTAAGCTAGACAACATCTGAATCTTCATATAGCCCTTAGCATCTCTCTCCCAGAAAAAAAAAAATGAGAAAGAAAAGCTGCCGTAATCTACTGAGTCTACCTGCTTCCTTCTTCAGGAAGTTTCGGCTAAAGTTACTGGTAACTCAATATCAATAAAATGTTTAAGAAGACATTTCATCATTGCTTGAGCATTTAAAATAAATTCAGCTAAGAGCTGCCATCTCAACAACACCTGAAGATGTTGATACAGTTTGAGAACAGGATTTTTTAAAATACATTATTTTAAAAACATCTAAGATATAGGGAAAAATGAAGTAATTATTAAAAAAAACGTGCTTAGCATTTATTTCAAGAGTTAATGATGCTTACTGCAGCAAACTTGCCAGCCCTTCATTACATTGTAAGAAGGTCATTATCTCCTGTGTTCCAATATTTTAAGATACTTATAAACTTTGTGCTCTGATAATGCTTCTTTATGATTCATATTCCCTGCAACAGCCTGTGTTTGAACACGAACGATTCAAGATGAAAGGACATCCAAGTCGGGTTTTCCGGTTTTTTTTTTAAAAACAATCAAAATAGATGTGTATCAACACGGCCACTGTACACGTTTAACCTGCAGTTCCCAGGAAAGGGACTTCAGTCACCGAAATAAACAGAGGCAGATCAACACTTGTGTCCCTCCCATCACCACCGACGGGTACCCAATTTGACTTTCTCCAGAGAGATGCCCGTGAT